ACTGCTAGTATTAATAAGCATACATTTATTATACTATTTTGCTCTCATTTTTCATTGTTTTTCAGATATGTAATTGTTAATAAGATTGCACACACCCTCATCTCATGTTCCATATTACTGATTTCCATTTTTAGCTAGAGAATTCAAGTGAAATTGACTTTTGTGGCTAGCTGTTTTTCCTTTATTTGCACAATCTATTGTGCTGTTTTAATCTGTTGTGCTTTGTTTCCATTTTAGATACCTCACATAGAGTATTAAACCCTAAGCAACCAAAACAAACAATCACAGAAAACTTATAAGGTTTTTTTTCTGATATAGACAAGCTAATGCTGAGTCAAACTTGCCCAACCTTACCACATCTGTTAAACATATTGCTGTATTTAAAAGGTCACTCCTGTAAATCCTGTCCCTTTCACAAATTATCTTCTGAAACAGCTCACTTATATTCAGAACTCTGTTATCTTAGATGTTCTTCAGATCATGTGTTTTTCTGGTCCCAAATGTAGTGTGTGTAAATAAATGTTTGTTTGTTTTTATTTTTTGCTCATATGCCAGGATTCTTCTGATTGACTTCCCAAGTTGTGCACTAGTTGCACTGTAGCTTACTGCCAAACTTTAGGTTTTTGGACTGTGTAGAATTTACAGCAAGCACTATTAAGGTCAGAGGGAGAAATCCTGTAACAATTAAAGTCGGTGGGAATTTTGCCATTGACTTTAATAGAACCAGGATTTCACCCTGAGATTTGCTACTCAGTAGTCATTATGGACTGTGATATTTCCTATTCTATGTATAGGAAAATACTTCAGTTACTGCAGATATTCTGAGCTGAAAATGCTGGGGTTTAATAGCGCGCACTGTAACTGAATTTTCCCAAAACAGTTTTAAACGTAGTAGGGTCATCCTGTATCATGCCCCACAATCCGTTGGGAATTGGCTTGTGCTGTTCAGCTCTGCTCTCTTTTATTGCAATTTGGTAGAAAATCCCTGAATAGACATTGCTTCATTTTGATTATAAAGTGCTTCCTGGCTTTTCTTCTAGAACTACTTGCTAGGTCCCCATAATTGTGAAAACAAACAACTGTAGGCCAGGGATGCTCCCTCACTTGAGGCATTGGAGTCAATGTTATATGCATTGTATTGAGCATCACACAGTTTTTCAGTGAGTATTCATCTTTTGAAGAAAGCTACTGGAAGTCCTAGGAACTCCAGTTGTTCCTACATGTTTTTTTGAGAGGAAGGGAGAGTGTTAGGGGGCTGTATTTTCTACAGCATCCACTTGCTTCTCTAAATAGTGTTCATCTTGGCCTCACCATGCACTACGTGTTTTTGCATTTTTCTTGGCCTCCCTCTATTACTGTGATTACCCCGTTCAGTGTCCTTTATTCTGAAAAGCATCGTGTACGCCTGTGGCACTGTAATAAATACTACTACTACCAGATTAAGTTTTTTTTTTAATGATCAGCATATTTAATATTCGCCTGTCATGTAATTCAGATCACTATCTTCTGAGCTATTCAGAACCATTTATTCAACGTGTTTAGAACCCATAATCAAAATAAATGTTTGTAGGATTCTTGTGAGACTTTCCTCTGGCTGTCATAAATTTTAGGCCATTTTTTTAAGGCCAGCCACTAAAGGGTAAGATGATCACAAACTAAAAAACACTGGAGCAAGTCTAACAGAGTTTGCTGATAGAGGACAGGGTGACATTCACAGTAATAATTACTGTACATCACATGTTTATAATAGGGGACATATTATATAATTTCTAAATATGAAAAATAGCTACTTTGTACTTACAGCAACTGTTTTTAAGATAACATTTAAAAAATATTAGAATTGCCCAGCTGACTGTCAATTTAAGGCAGTGGTGCCCAAACTTTTCCTGTCGCGCTCCCCCTTACCAGGAATGGAATCTGTACGCGCCCTCCCTCCATTACTGCACAGTTGGCTCAGCAGAGGAGCTTGGGCTGAAGGCAAGCTGGAAGCTGAACTGGGGATGGGGGAGGAGCCTGGGGCTAGAGGTGGAGCTGGCCTGGGGGAGGAGATGGAATAAGAGCAGAGCGAGGGCGGAGTGGGGCTGGAGCAGAGCAGGGCTAGGTGGCACTCCCGCCCTGCCCCCCATGGGAGCTGGCTTGGGCCCTGATATGAGCCCCCTGGAACATTCCTCCATGCCCTCCCCCACACACACACAGTTTGGGGGCCACTGATTTAAGGGCTGGAACTATTGGGTTTTAGCTATAGATCACTTTTAAATGAGGAAAGAGCAAAAAATAATCTAACACTCCTGACATATTTCTTTAGCTAGCTTTAAAATCAGTAATTTGTTAATTTAAAAAAAATCATTTAACCTCTCATAAAAAAGGGCATATAATGAGAAAAAACAAATAAATCCTTACATTACTATTATTATATTCCTGAGAGGAGCTCAGTATCCACAATTCCCACTGATTTCAGTGAGAGTATCAGGGTGCTCAGCATCTCTTAGAAACAAGTTGTAAGCCATTGAAACAGTTAATATTCTGCAGGGTTGAAAGTTTTCATTAACTCTTTGATACCTTTGATTGTAAAAAAATTAATTTGCTTTCTGAGAAAATCCAGCTGCTAAACAAGAATAATGTAGGCTTGGTCATAGTGCTTGGATTTTGAATCTATTCACTTATATTTTAAGTATAAGTCACTTTTAAAGTGCTTTGTATGCTAACCTTTTTAATTTTTTATCTGAGAAATACAGGCGCATATGATTTTTGTGGCCCTTTGCCAAAAGATTATCATTTACATAAATATTCCTTTCAACAGAATAGTTTAATGTATTGAGCTCAGAAGGTTAGAAGAGAGACTTCAATCTGTAGCCCAGCAGTGGGCTATTGGCTTCTGAACAGTAGCATTGTTCATCGTATTCAGAACACTGTTCACATTCAGGCTTAAGCAGAGCTGGCATTAAAATTCATCTAATTCGTTTCATGTGACTTGTCAGCTGTGTTTTTTATTTAAATCTCTATCGCCTTTTCTTTTGGCATTTTTGTTTTGTAATTTTAAAAAGTATTGAAATGGATAGGCCACTTTTTAACTGTTTAATCTCTGACCATTTTATGTTTTGTCAGTTGTCACAATATGTTAAAATGTCCCATTAGTTTATTATATTTTTGTGCTTCTTTAAAAGAGGTCACTTTTGTTTTTTATGTTTCTGAATATATTTGATTAGATGCATCTAACCAGTCTTTTAAATTTAGTTTGAGTGGAAATGGCATGTAAGATTAAATAGAAGCTCCGTGCATTGAGGAGCTAAATAATTTTTATTTTATTAGAGAGTTTATACTTTATATTTGTTGTCAGATGCCTCTGTGGAGATTAAAGCATGAGCGTAAACCCTAGCTTTATTTTGATACTGCCTCTGACCTTCTAATTTTTTCCTCCTTTTTCTAGCACACAGTCTCTGTAGCTAACAGTCACCTCAACCATTATTTTTTTTTTTCTTGAACCTGATTGAGAAGTGAGTGGTTGTACCTGGCTTGTCCAGTGAAATTTCCAATATTGCAGTTCAGTTCATTGAGTCTACATCACTCCTAAAAACTTAACACTGTGATTTATCTACTGAGGTCATGATCTTGCAAAGACGTACACACATGCTGAACTTTTTACTTATTTATTCAGGAAGTTTTAACAAGTTAGCAAATCCTTGCCTGTAAATATCAGATACGAAACAACTGTTACAAGAGTTAACTTTTATATAGAGAGACATCATACAGGAATACGATCAGATCTTTCTGTTTAACAGGATTTTACCATATTACATAGTGAGCATTATTACAACAGCTATAATATGTCGTTTCTAGATATGTTATTAAATTGAGTGAAATACATAAATACATACATGCTGAACTTTATGCACAGTGAGTGGTCCTGCTGGAGTCAATAGAATTCTCACAGTTAAGCAGCAAAACTAAAGTGCTTAGTGTAAAGTTAAGCACCCGAGTAAGGCTTTTCAGGATTGGGGCCTTAATATAAATACAAACATTTTAGAAGCTTTATTATACTCATTTTAAAGTATTTTTAAAAATGTATTATGTCCATTGCAGTTCACTGAAAAAATAAATAGTATGTTGTATTAAAATGTGTTTTAAATTTTTGCCTTTCTTATTATGCATGTATATATTCCAATATTAGTGGTGTTACTATGGTTAAGATTCTGACAGCATTTCTGTAATAAACCCTTTTCAAGTATAATCAGCTGTAAAAGTTGTCTGTGGAATAAAACTTTGGTACAAGATTCTAAAGTGAATCATAAAAATAAAAGAGATCTTTCAGCTAACGATATAACCTGAAACTCATTGGACATAGTTAAAATGACTTAATAAGAAATTAAAAAATACTTTAATTTAAATATTGAATATTTTCCCTTCAGACATATACCAGTGTATGTGAAACACAAGAGACTATTAGTATGTTGTTGGGCAGAGCCACCAGTTAGCTAGCTGTGTCATGCATAGTGGGTATAGACTATACCCACTATAGACCGTGCTGTTTTTTTTTAGAGACGGTGTGAATTAAGGATGGAGAGAGAACCCTTAATCGTAAAACTTCTCAGTTGGTTACCAAGATTAGAATGGATGTTTAAGCTTAATGTTTCCAGATAATTTCCCCATCCTATTTTAGGTGTTATGACATTATCCATATGTAGGTTGTTGCATTCCACATGTAGTGCTTGTCATGTCACCGTGGAGAACTATCTGAAGTGTGGAACTAGCTTATATAGGTCAGATGAATCTCTTTTCTGCAGAAACACTGGATTTTTCTTAAAAAGTAATGCCAAGTCAAAGTGTCTGCAGAAAATGCAGACATACCCTAACTTCTGTATGATAGTTCTGTGCCCCAAAGGGTTTGGTGTCATGGATGGGATAGTATGTTCCGGGGCTAGCATTTGAAATGGAAATATTACTTTCTGATAAATTTGACTTATTTGAAGTTTACCTAACTGTCTGATGTTTATTTTCTTTAGAATTTCAAAGAATATTCCAACAACTAAAGATGTTGAACCTCTGCTTGAAATTGATGGGGACATACGGAATTTTGAAGTATTTTTATCTTCACGGACACCAGTTCTTATAGCACGTGATGTAAAAATCTTTTTGCCGTGTACTGTAAACTTAGATCCAAAGCTACGAGAAATCATTGCAGGTGAGTATGTTTTCAGATAAAATGAAAATGGAAAATTGTATTATTTTCTTCATTATAGATGTTGTTACTGCTTGGAACACTCACTACCTCTGAGTTAGTAGGTTTGTAGCATTTGTGTCCAGAGGGATTATTAGCTCATCAAGTCTGACGGTCATACGCCATTAGATTTCACCCAGTGATCTCAGCATTGAGACCAGTAACTTGTGTTTGACTAAAGCATATATTCCATATCAGCTTTTCCATTATATTGCCTAGGATTGATGTCAGGCTAACCAACCTGTAGTTATGGGCCCTCTTGGTTGCTCTTTTTTGAATATTGGCACAACAATAGCTCTCTTCCAGTTTTCTGGAATTTCCCTGGTATTCCAAGATTTATTGAAAATTAGTATTAATTGGGCCAGAGATCTCCTCAGTCAACTCTTTTAAGACGCTTGGGTGAAAGCTATCCAGGCCTGCTAAAAGTTTATCCCTAGTAGATGTTTAACATCCTCGTTAGTTACTAATGGTCTGGAAGGTACTTCATTATTCTCATGTGATACAAGCACATCATCCTGCTTCTTTCCAAATACAGAACAAAAATATTATATTTATTGAACATATCTACCTTTTCTGTATCAGTATTAACAGTTTTACTGTCTCCATCTTGTAATAGGCCTTATGCTATTTCTGGGGTCTCTTTTGTTTTTAATTGTGATAGAGTGCTAGGTAAAAAGGCCCGAGTCAGCACTCTTCAGAGCAGCCCCAAACAGTCAAAGCAGATTGGAGCTGACTATGCAAGGGGCTGTGCCTCTAATTTGTGGGTGGGGCAGGGCAAAAAGGCCAATTAAGCCATTAGCCAAGAGCCCACAAATAGGCACAGGAAAGAAGAGCACAGGGGGGAAGCAAGCAGTAAGGGGGAGAGAGAGATTACTCTCTCTCTGCTTGGGAAAGGTCTTAAGTATGCTGTGAAAGTGGTGGGATGCAAATGTAAATAAACTGCACAGGGTGTTGAACCAGCAAAAGGGTCTCCGCATTATTTGTGGACTGAGACAGAGGCAGGACCAAGGTGACCCTGTTACACGTGGGGGTTGTCCGGGACCTGAGCCAACGCAAGGGTTTGGCAGCCTGGGCAATGGAGGAGACCCTGCAATGGCTGGTAAAACAACACGAGGAGATGCAGAAGGCCCTACAAGGTTTTCAAAAATCCCGCCACCTGGAGAGAGAGGCTTTGCTTGCCTTGCAGGCAAAGCAGCAGAGAAGCCTGCAAGATTTCATAGGGGAACAAGCCAATGTCCAGCAGCAGCTCCTACAGAAGGTGATAAGTCCCCGATGGGGGATGGTGCCTGAACACTGAGCCTTGGACTATGTAAAATGGGCCCTGCAGATTACCCAGATGCATTCCTTGGCACTTTTCAGAGGGTAGCCATGGGTGCTGGATGGGATAGAGCAACCTGGTCCCTGCGGTTGGCTCCCTATCTGTCGGGAGAAGCCCAAGTAGCCTCTATAGCCCTGAATGAAGAACAGGTCAGAAAATATGAGACGGTGAGGGCAGCCATCCTGGATTGGGTGGGGTTGCCTACTGAGAAGTACCACCAAAAGTTCAGATCAGCAAGGGGGACAGGAGGTTTATGGCCCTGGGCCTTTGCCCAAAAGTTGATGGACTGGGTCACCCACTGGTTGAGACCAGATACCCAAACGGTAGCGGAAATAATGGATGCTCTGGTATTAGAGCAGTTCTTTCAGGGCCTCCCCGAGACCATACGAGTGTGGGTCAGGCGACATCCACCGGGCACAGTGGATGCTGCTGTGAAACTAACAGAGGAGTATGCAGAGGCAGACTTTCCCAGGAAAGACTGGTGACCATATAAGGGTCCAGAGCTGGGGAGGATGGCTAGAAAATCCACAGCAGGAAGGGGCATGGACAGGAAGAAGGAAGAACCCTGAGGAGTTCCAGCTGGGGCTCGGCCCCTTATTTGCTGCCAATGTAGGTGATCCGGACACAAGAAATGGGACTGTCCATACATAGATTGTGGCTCGGTCAGGGCTGGAGGGAAGAAAAAGGGGCAAAAACTGTCTACCATTTCAGTGATGGTGGGGAGGAAACCCCAGAAGGGCCTTGTGGATACAGCCTCAGTTTGCTCTCTGGTCCGGAGGGAGCTGGTGAAGCCTCACTGGATGACTCCAGGAGCAACTGTGGACATACAGTGTGTCCATGGGGATGAGCAGCATTGCCCTATAGCCCAGGTGCCCCTGGAGGTCCTGGGGAGATTTTGGTAGAAACAGGGTGGGGTAATGGAGTGGCTGCCTTATCTACTTGTCTTGGGCACCAACTGGAGTCCCTTCCCCACTGGGAAGTGAGGTGGTGGGAGGAATCCCATGTTAGGAAAAGGAAAACCAGGGGGAGACAGGGAAGGAACCCCAAAAAGGAAACACAAAAGACCCCTAGACAACAAAGCCTGAGTCAGGAGGACAAGAAATGTCCCCAGGGATGTAAGGAAGGAGGGAGGGAGACAGCCCAAACTCCTTAGCAGAGGTAAGGGGGCCAAAGGAGCTCCCTGCAACACAACCCCCAGGAGAAGAAATCCAGGTGCGGTTAGGAGACTTGAGGGAACCTGGAGCTTAGATTTTTCCAGCTGTCTTCAGTTTCCAGTATCAATTTTCTACCCTTCATAACTTCTAATTTATATTGTTTGCTATCTTTGTTCCTGTTTTTCTATTTGTCAGATATTAGTTTTTTGTTTTATTTCTAATTGCTGCCTTCACTTCACAACTGAATCAGTATGGGCAGCTATCCTTTTTTGTGATTGTGGTATTTTGGCCATCTGATGAACCCTTCTTAAAGAACTCCCAACTTTTATTCACATTTTTCTGTCTAAATATTTACTCTTAATCAATTTCTCTCATAAGATTCCTCAGCTTTGGGAAACTGGCCGTTTTGAAGCATCAAGTATGTATGTTACTGGTTGGGACTGTCCTCTGTTTCTCCATATTGGATGAAATCAGGTCATGATTACTGGTTCTTAGAAGGCCATCAGCTTGCAGGCCAGTGATTAATTCATATTTATCCATCATAATGAGGTCCAAAATAGTTATTTTGCGTTGGGTACAATACCCTTTGTGTTAGAAAAGTTGCTCTACTCCAGCGGTCCCCAAACTGTGGGGTGCGCCCCCCCTCCCATGGGGATGCAGAGGAACATTCGGAACGGGTGCGGGGGGCCTGGACCATCCCCATAGGGGTCAGGGAAGGAGTGCCACCCACCCCCGCTCCGCTTCCAGCTCTGCCACGGCTCTGGCTCCCGGCTGTGGCTCCACTCACAGCCCCAACCTTGGCCCCCGACCGCAGCTTCCACCCCCAGCCTCGGCTCCAGACCCTAGCCCCAGTCCCGTCGCCGCTTCCGGCTCCATCTTCAGCCCCGGCCGTGGCTCTGTTCTTGGACCCAGACCCACCCCCAGCCTTGGCCCCCTTACCCCAAGCTGTGCATCTCCCCCTGCCCCCAATCCTGAGCCGTGGCCCCACTCCCAGCCATGGCGGGGGGGGGCAGACAGGAGTAAGGGGGGGTGATGGGGAACACTGCTCTACTCCTTTTCCAAAGTCTACTAAACTTCATTTACTCAGAAAAAGAATGTGTTCACTGATCAACAGCATATAATTGCCACATTTTGCTTGTGACTGAAGAAGGTGGAAAGTCATGTTTTTAAAATGTACCGGTAGATACTGTTAATATGTCTGAAGGAAAATGTACTGGTGAGCTTTGGTATTAAGTTATCCTGGACTGTTATAGCTGACATAAAGAATCCATGCCAGGACACTGGTTAAGAAGAATCTAGGGCTGTGGGCAGGAGAGTAGGCTTCCTACCCCATGGCAGTGGGGCAGCAACCTTCCCTTGTTCGGAATCCTACAAAAATGGTAATGAAATCCTTTGTGGTTTTTCATTGTCATTTCTGATGAGAAAAACAATAGAAATCCACTTTTTCTAGCGTTTGATTATCAGGAGTATTGGGCTTTATTGCCTTTGAATGTAGAATACAGTGTTTTTTCAGGAAATAGGTAAACCTCTTCCTTTCCTTCTCAGAGAGCAAAACAAATGATGTATCTGAGTATTCAAAATATATTGGGGATAGAAGATTAGGCAGGGCTCCTACCTGATAAGTTCTGAAACATACTGGGTCAGATCAATGGTCCATCTAGCCCAGTATCCTGTCTTCCAACAGTGGCTGGTTCCAGATGCTTCAGAGGGACTGGATGGAACAGGGCAATTTATCAAGTGATCCATTCCTTATACTCCAGTCCCATTTTCTGGCATTCGGAAGTTTAGGGACACCCAGAGCACGGGGTAGTGTCCATGAGCATCTTGTCTAATATCCATTGATGCACCTATCCACCATAAACGTATCTAATTCTTTTTGAACACAGTTACACTTTTGGCCTTTACAGCATTCCCTAGCAACGAGTTCCACAGTGTGACTGTCCATTGTAAGAAGAAGTACTTCCTTTTGTTTGTTTTAAACGTGTTGCCTATTAATTTCATTGGATCACCCTGGTTACTGTGTTTTGTGAAGGGGTAAATAAGACTTCCTTATTCACTTTCTTCACACCATTTGTGATTTTATGGACTTCTGTCATCTCCCCCTTCCCCCCCCAGTTGTCCCTTTTCTAAATTGAACAGTCCCAGTCTTTTTAATCTTTCCTTGTATGGAAACCGTTCCATACCTCTAATAATTTTGTTGCTCTTTTCTGTACTTTTTCCAATTCTAATATCTTTTTTGAGATGGGGCAAGCAAAATTGCAAACAGTATTCAATGTGTGGGCGTACCATGCCTTTATATAATGGCATTATGATATTCTCTGTCTTATTATCTATCCCTTTCCTAATGGTTCCTAACACTCTGATAGCTTTTTTGACTGCCGCTGTACATTGAGTAGATGTTTTCAGAGAACTATTCACTATGATTCCAAGATCTTTTTCTTGAGTGGTAACAGCTAATTTAGACCCCATCATTTTGTGTGGATAGTTGGCATTATGTTTTCCAATGCTCATTACTTTGCATTTATTAACACTGAATTTCACCTGCCGTTTTGTTGCCCAGTCTTCCGGTTTTGTGAAATGCCTTTGTAATTCTTTGCAGTCAGCTTTGGACTTAATTATCTTGATTAATTTTGTGTCATCTGCAAACTTTGCCCCCTCAGCGTTTACCTGTTTTCCCAGATCAGTTTATGACTCTGCTATTTACCTCTCTCTGTGAAAACTGACTATTCCTACCTTTGTTTCCTATATTTTAACCAATTACTGATCCATCAGAGGACCTTTCTTCTTATCCCATGACTGCTTAGCTTGCTTAAGAGTCTTTGGTGAGGGACCTTGTGAAAGGCTTTCTGAAAAATCAGTTATGCTATATCCACTGGATCACCCTTTCCCACATATTGTAGACACCCACAAAGAATTCTAATAGATTGGTGAGGCATGATTTCTCTTTACAAAAGTCATGTTGATTCTTCCCCAACATATTGTGTTCATCTATGAGTCTGTGATAATTCTGCTCTTTACTATAGTTTCAACCAATTTGCCTGGTACTGAAGTTAGTACTGGCCTGTAATTACCAAGATCGCCTCTGGCGCATTTTTTAAAAATAGGTGTTAGCTACCCTCCATCATCAGATACAGAGGCTGATTTAAGTGATAGGTTATTTAACTACAATTAGTAGTTCTGAAATTCAGAACTCTTGAGTGAATATCATTTGATACTGGTGACTTATTACTGTTTAATTTATCAATTTGTTCCAAAACCACCTCTATTAACACCTCAGTCTGGGACAGTTCCTCAGATTTGTCACTTAAAAAGAATGGCTCAGGTATGGGAATCTCCCTCTCATCCTCTGCAGTGAAGACTGATGCAGAGAACTCATTTAGTTTCTCTGCAGTGTCCTTTTCTTCGCTGAGTGCTCCTTTAGCACCTCAATCATCCAGTGGCCTCAATGATTGTTTGTCAGGCTTCCTGCTTCTGATATCCTTTTAAAAAAAAATTGTTGTTAGTTTTTGTGTGTTTTGCTAGTTGCTCTTCAAATTCTTTTTTGGCCTCCCTAACTATGCTTTTACACTTGACTTGTCAGAGTTTATGATCCTTTCTATTTTCCTCATTTGGATTTGACTTCCAATTTTTAAAGGGTATCTTTTTGTCTCGAATCACGTTTTACTCTGTTTAGCCAGGGTGGCATTGTTTGGCTCTTTTGCTATTTTTATTTAGGGTATACATATAGTTTGAGCCGCTATTGTGTTTTTTAAAAGTTTCCATGCAGCTTGTAGGCATTTCACTCTTTTGACAGCTCCTTATAATTTCCACTTAACTGGCCTTCTTATTTTAGTGTAGTTCCCCTTTTTGAGGTCAAATGCTACTGTGCTGGGATTTTTTGGTATCCCCCCCCCCCCACCACCACCACCAGGTTGTTATGTTTAATTATGCTATGGTTGCTGTCACTGGTTCAGTTGTATTCACGTCTTGAACCAGATCCTGTGCATCATTTACAACTAAATTAGGAATTTTCCCTCCCCTTGTGGATTCCAGGACCAGCTGCTCCAAGGAGCATTCATTAATGGTGTCTAGAAATTTTATCTTTGCATCCTGTCCTGAGGTTATATATACCCAGTCAATATGGGGATGGTTGAAATCCCCCGTTATTGGGTTTTCAGTTTTTGTAGCCTCTCTAATTTCTCAGCATTTCACAGTCACAGTCATCATCCTGGTCAGGTAGTCGGTAGTATATTCCTACTGCTATACTTCTGTTGTTCAAGAATCTTCATAGAGATTCTATAGTACAGTTTGATTCATTTTAAGATTTTTACTCTATTTGACTCTATGCTTCACATATAATGCCACTCCCCCACCAGCACGACATATTCTGTCATTCCTAGATATTTTGTATCCTGGTATTACCATGATAATATTTGTTTATTATCTTGTTATTCTGATGTTTTCTTGATTGGCTTGCCTGTTTCTTCAGCTGGTTTCTCATACATGGCAATCAAAAGCCTTTGGAACTACCCTAAGTGCACATTATTTATTTATTTATTTATTTTTCATACTTAACTCCAGTGAATTGACAAATAATAAAAGGAACTTAAAACTAAGAACTTCATTGAGTCCCTCTCCTTTCCTCATCTTGTATACATATTTAATGTTTCAGATGTTCGTGCTGCAAGAGATCAAATGAATATTGGAGGATTATCATATCCCACAATGCCCTTACCTGAGGCACCAGCCAGAGCATCATCAGTGTTTAGTCAGCCTTCATCAATCTGCTCTTCATCCTCCTTCAATGGGCCTTTCAATGGTGGAGTTGTATCTCCACAACCTCATAGCAGCTACTACAGTGGCATGACAGGACCTCAGCATCCATTCTATAATCGAGTAAGTAACCAATTAACTATTAAATCACATTTAGCATGATTTAATCTTATAATATTGCGTAGCTAATCCTGTAAATGCTTAAAGGAAAAGAAAACAGACAACCCCCCCACCACCTAAAAAACCCACCCAATAAAAAGGGACAGGAGAAAACTGCAGGAAAAAATGGTAAAACTTGCAAGGATGGTCACTCATCTACTGCAATCTAATGGAAAAGCATATGGAAAATTGAAACAAAAGGGAAAACTTCAGGGAAAATGTCCTTTTAGTTTGAGACACTATTAAATAGTGGGACACAGGAGGAATCTTTTAATGGTGGGTGTGTCAGGGTTGGCTTTTTTTTAAATACACAATTACTAATACAGTAAATTTACTCAGGTGCTGTCTCAGTATGGCACTGACAAATTGGTCTGAAATCAGAAGATGAAATTCAATAGAGATAAATGCAAATTACTTCTCACCTAGGAAGAAAAAAATCAAATGCAAAACTACAAAATGGGGAATAACTGGCTAGGCAGTAGTTCTGCTTAAAAGGGTCACAAATTGAATATGAGTCAACATATTCTGGGGAGTATTAACAGGAGTGTCGTATGTACTGTCGAGGCCCAAGCTGAAGTATTGTGTCCAGTTCTGGATACCACTCTTTAAGAAAGATGTGGCCAAATTGGAAAGAGTCCAGATGAGAGCAACAAAAATGATAAAACATTTAGGAAACCTGACCTATGAGGAAAGGTTAAAAACCTGGGCTTGTTTAGTTTTCAGAAAAGAAGACTGTGGGGGGGGACTTGATAACAGTCTTCAAATATAATAAGTGCTGTTATAAAGAGGATGGCGATCAATTGTTCTCCATGTCCACTGAAGGTGTAGAACAGGGGTCGGCAACCTACAGCACGCGTGCCGAAGGCGGCACACGAGCTGATTTTTACTGGCACGCTGCTGCCAGCCGGGGTCCCGGCCGCCGGCCCCGCTCAGCCCGCTGCCTGCCTGGGTGAACGGAATCCTAGGCTGGCAGCTGGCTGAGTGGGGCTGACGGCCAGGACCCCGGCTGGCAGGAGTTGGCGGCCGGAACTCCAGACGATCTGCTGGCTGAGCCACTCAGCCCGCTGCTGGTCTGGGGTTCCATCCGCCAGCCCTGCTCAGCCAGCTGCCGGTGTAGGATTCTGGCTGCCGGCCCCTTGCCAGCTGGGGTCCCGGCCCCTCTCAGCCCGCTGCTGGCCTTAATAGATGGAACCCCGGGCCGGCAGGGGGCTGAGCGGGGGCAGCGGGCTGAGCGGGGCCAGTGGACGGAACCCCAGACCGGCAGCGGGCTGAGCAGCTCATATCACTACTGGTCTGGGGTTCCATCTGCCGCCTGTGCTGCCGGTCTGGGGTCCCAGCCACCGGCCCCGCTCATCCCGCTGCTGGCCTGGATGGATGGAACCCCAGGCCAGCAGCGGCTGAGCGGGGTCGGCAGCTGGGACCCTGGCTGGCAGGGGCCGGCAGACGGAACCCCAGGCCGGCAGCGCACTGAGCCGCTCAGCCCACTGCCGGTCTGGGGTTCCGTCTGCCAGCCCCTGCCAGCCAGAGTCCCTGCTGCCAGCCCCGTTCAGCCTGCTGCCAGTCTGGGGTTCTGTCGGGGGCCCCTGTAAATGTAACATTTATTTCGGCACGGGAAACCTTAAATTACTGAAGACTTGGCACGCCACTTCTCAGGTTGCCGATCCCTGGTGTAGAACAAGCCGTAGTCAGCTTCCTGATCACTGGAGATTTTTAAGAACAGGTTAGACAAACACTGATAAATTACGTTCTAGGTTTACTTGGTCCTGCCTCAGTGCAGGGGCTGGACTAGATGACCTTTGGAGGTCCCTTTCATGAGTCTACAATAAACAGGCACATGGAAACAGAAAGTAAAGTTGAACATACTGATTTCTGCATAGCTACATAAAGCCGCAGACGAGCTGCCCCTTCACATAAATGTGAAGGAACTCAGGGCAATGCTCTTGGCAAGCGAGGTGTTCTTCCCACAGCTTGTGAGCAAGACGGTGCAAGTGTTGGCGGAAAATATAGCAGCAATGTTCTATGTCAATAAGCAAGGAAGGCCCCGTTCCAAGATCCTCTGTCAGGAAGCCCTTGGGCTATGGAACTTCTGCGTAACGCATTCCATCCACATAGATGCCACGCACCCTCCAGGGGAATGAAACGTGCTAGCAGATCGCCTCAGCAGGTCCTTCTCCTCTCACCACGAGTGTCTCTCCACACAGAGGTAATCAGTGCCATTTTCCAGAGGTGGGGGACTCCCCAGGCGGATTTGTTCACCACAGCACAGAACAAGAAGTGTCACCTCTTTTGCTCGGCTGGGACAGGGGCACTGTAATCAATGCCTTCCTCCATCCATGGTCAGGCAGCCTGCTGTATGCTTTTCTGGCAATCTCTCTGGTTCACAAGGTGCTCCTGATCGCTCCAGCATGGCCTCACCAGCATTGGTTCGGCATGCTCCTAGACCTAGCAGTCACAGCCCCGTGGATTCTCCCTTTCAGACCAGACTTAATCTCGCAGGATCAAGGGAGGTGCCTCCATTCAAACTTGCAGGCCTACACCTGACAGCATGGCTGAATCCAGAGGAGAGGGAGTGCTCTGACCAGGTGCAGCAAGTCTTGCTAAGTAGTAGAGCACAGAGAGGCTGCCCTGGTAGTAGCTCTCTGGTAGGTAGTAGAAAGCCATTTACTAGGGCTGTGCTGTGCTCCAGGCTTTGCAGCTTACCAGTGTACACATCTAGTCCCCCAGTTCCCTACCTACAAGCTGGACTCCAGGTCTGGTTCTCTGCTCATCTTCATTGAACAGTGCACAGAGCATGCACTGTGATCCAATTAACTCCCTCTTATAGGGAAAGCTGGAGAGCAAGAGGTACTTCTAGACAGGTCTCAGCAGGTCACAAAACGTAATGTTGGAACTCAGGCTGCAGCAGGATGGCAAATTACAGGGCCAGAAAGAAAAATTCCATGGCCATGGAATCATGCAGCCTACTGGGCCTGTATTGAGAAGGTTGGGAGAAGATCCTCATCACATCTCTGATGTATGGTTTACAGGCTGTCTGCAAACTTGGGAAGCCAAAGTTCCTCTGGTTCCACTCTGTATATATTTATGGTCATCTCATGTTTTCAGTGTTATCCCTGCGACCATAGGGGCTAGAAACATCCTATTTTTTTAAATGAAAGCTGAGACTGTGGAGCGAGAGTCTACAATGGAGAGCTAATTCCACAGTTGTGGAATCATGGAATACCTGAGCCCAGGCTATTCCCAGGCAGTAAAAAGCATAATTGCAAGCAGTAAAATCCCCCAAAGGGGGATAGGAAATGGTGGGTCATGGAATAATTTTTGACCAATTTCTAGGTTGCAGACCAAAAAGAATCAAAAATAGTGATTGAACCAGCCTCTGCTATTTGATTCAGAGGACCTGCTATAGAGGGAGGGGAATAGGGCCCTTCTGCCTAAGATGATCATTCGTCATCTCACACAAGCAAGTTCTCCCCATAGTTTGAAGTGGCTAGAAGATTTTTTGAGAGGGAATAATCATTTAAATTCAAGAATTCACATAATTCAAGAAGTAACATATGAAACTCTGAAATAAAATTCCTTCTCTTCCAGGAATAGATTGCTATAGAACCTGTAGCACATGGTAAATAGACTTTATTCAAGGTACTTTATGATATAATTCGGTAATAGTTAGGAGGTTTAAGGCCTAGATTGATACTTAGTCTTAAACCATTTTAAGAAGGGAAAAAATTAAAATGTTGTTTCTGGGAGCAATTTCCCACAATTGTAACAGGAAGATTATTGTTCTCTGGACCTCAGGCATATTGCAAAATATTCAAGTCAAAGAGAGTAGCTCACAGTGAGAGGAAACTACCATTTTCAGTTTGGATTGCTGTCTTCTGTCTAGCATCAATACCAAAGAATTAAAGGTTGTAGCAGTATATGATAGGTACTGTCACACATTGGCTGGTAAACGTGAGAGAGAGTCCAAAGATCAGTTCACCTTGGCACTAGGACAGTGGAGTCATTTGAGTTTTTCATAAACTACCCAGAGTCATAGTTTGTCCCAGCTAGATAGCTGAAATACATTGGAGTTAGACTTTAGTTCTTTAGTTTTTGTTTCACTTCATTTACAGCTTCCTTGGAACATATACAAAGCATACCAGTTTCTTAGTCCTTAGGTGAGGTTTTGGGGAATTTTCCAGCATTTTGGTTTTGATGAGCTTCTGTAGAACTGCAGGTCTGATTCCATCAGTAACTTGCCTGGTTTTCTGCCAGTTAACCTGGTTGGCTGCTGGGGAGCCCACACTTCCACAGTCCATGGCTCTGGGGCAGCTCAACCATGCAGACTGTCTGGGCAAGGACCTCATGGCTTCCAGGGTCCATGGCTCTGGGCAGGAGTAGAGTTGAGTTCCCGGATGCTGTGCTGGGAGCCTGGAAGGCACGTTGGGTGCAATGACTTTAGCAGAGACTCTCAGGGCTTAGGCTTCTAGCTCCGCAGCTGGGACTGTGGCAGCTCTGGGAGGCCTGAGAGCCTCCACCGGAGCCAGGACTCTCAAGGTTTCTGGGATCCCTGATCTGTTGTGGAGGACTTCCCTGACTCTCCAGTGGGACTCCCTGGGCTGTTCTCAGAGTCAGGGGGGCATGAGGAGTCTTTGGGAGTCAGGACAACCAGCTGCTCCACTTCATTTAGGAAAAATTGAACCAATACAGTTTTGATTTTTCCAGAATGAGAACATTCCAGAATTTCCTTCCCATGAGAAATTTCTAAACTTCTTTTTTTGAATTTGACCTATAATTCCTTTGACATGTTGGAATTTCCCACGGTATAGAAAATTTGGAGTTTCAACCAGTTCTAGTCTGTGATCCTTTTAAATCCTTAGTGATTAGACTGAAGTGTAAAACGCAGAGGCATAACAGTTGCCAGCAATAGATAAGTGCCTGCCACCTAGTGATAAAGTGGTGTAGTGTACTTTGAATTTTGTCCCATGGAACACTCAGAACTTTGTCATGAGCAGGAGTACAGGCCCAATAGCGTGGAGCTATATAGATTCTACAGCACTGTCAGAGAACAGCTATAAGATGGTAAATTATTTTTAAAAATGTCTAAATATAAAATATGTATGCAGTGTAGCTGTAGCCATGTTGGTCCCAAGATATTAGAGAGACAAGGTGGGTGAGGGAATATCTTTTTATTGGACCAACTTCTGTTAGGGAGAGAGACAAGCTTTTGAGCCACATAGAGCTCCTAGCTCAAGAGCTTGTCTGTCTCGCCAACGGAAGTTGGTCCAATAAAAAGATATTCCCTCACCCACCTTGTCTCTCTTAATAACATAAAATAGGAATTTTCAAAATGAGCATATGTACAAAGTATAAACGTATTCTGAAAAATTATGGAATGGTTTCAAAAGAGCCTTGGTTCCTGGAAACTAAAGGTAGATTATTTTTTATCTTTTTATTTTATTTAAACACATCAGTCTTAAATTGCATGGCTCTATAAGAAAACTGAGAAGGAAAGTACTGAAAAAATCATTTTAAAGGCACACTGCAGCACTTTTATAAAAATATTAAAAATTGGGATCAGACAACACATTAAATGTGTAAACTTCAAAATTACAAATGTATATACAGGTCAAAACAAATATGTTGCAATGTTTGAAAAGCAGTTTCTACCTATCTTATCTGCATCATCAATTGCAGGATTCCATATTTTGCACATCTACAGTTGCTGTATTTGCATAACACAATCATAATTGGGGTGTTGGTGTAGGTGGTATTATTTCTGACATTCACAGATCAAATACAGAATCCTATATTTGGTCATGGTATGTAAGTAAAGGGGAAACTGTTTTTGAATACTTTGTTTTAAAACGGGAAATGTACACCTCTACCCCAATATAACGCTGTCCTCGGGAGCCAAAAAATCTTACTGCGTTATAGTGAAACCACATTATATCGAACTTGCTTTGATCCGCCGTAGTACGCAGCCCTGCCCCCCCGGAGCACTGCTTTACCGCGTTATATCTGAATTCGTGTTATATCGGGTCGCGTTATATTGGGGTAGAGGTGTATTTGTAATTTTGAGGTCTTTATCTACTTTTGGCTACCATTGTATGAAGCAGTCATCTGGAAGACTAAGCACAGGTCTGGGAGCCAGGAACTCCTGAGTTCTAATTCTGACTCAGGCACTGGCGTGCTTTATATGTTTTGCAAGTTACTTAACATTTGTCTCCTTAAATCCCATCTGTTTAAAAAAAAAAAAAAAAGAGAGAGAGAGATACTTGCCTGATCCACAAGAGTGATTAGTCAATTAGTATTTGTTCTCCACCTTATATTTTTCAAAGCAAAAAACATTTAACAATAATTCTAATAAAAACTTTAATTGTTTTATTTAATTAAAATTTACATTGATTTAAAATATTTTTGTATTAAGAACTTACATTTTGCATACGTGTAGCTTTATAGCATCATAATGTGCTGTAAAAATGCAAAAATCTAAACTAAAAATTGAACACGATTGTATTAAAATACTTTAAAAATAAAACAAATTCAAAAACTGGTAGCTCCTATAATCAAAACTTCCACGGTTATGTGCCATGCACTCCATTTTCTATGTAGTTCTATAGATATCCAAGTATGATAAATATTACGAAGTTTTGCAAACTGTAGTGAGCTTTTGTTCCCTGTAATTGTAAGTTGAAGAGCTTTGTGATGGTGAAATTAATAGAAGGATGAAGCGTTTTTTTTATTGCTCTGTCCACTCCTCCTGCCCCCTTCCCTCCAGACATTGCGATGGGACTTTCAAAAGTGTTCAGCATTCACCTTCAGCTGTTCCCCTTTGAAGTCAATGCTAAAACTCTTATTGGCGTCAGTGGGTGCAGAGAGGTCAATACTGAGCAACTTTGAAAAGCTAACTCTAGAGCTTTTGATTAAGTAAAAGATAAATAAAGCTTTTAGTATTTGCAATGTCTAACGTTATTAAATGTAGCATTCTTAAGCAGAAGATGTATTTTGTTGAAATAACTTTTCTTTCGATTATTATTACATTTTGATTTTGTGTAATTTTGTCCTTTTTTTTGTTTTTTTTGTTACATGTTTCTTTCCATAGCCATTCTTTGCCCCATATATGTACATGCCAGGGTACTACCCTGGCAGTTCTCATCACATCTCACGTCCATCACTAAAAACGGGTTTGTCCAGAGATCAGAACAATGGCCTAGTAAGTATTTTGAAGGACAATTAAAATACTAACCTAAAATATAAGAATACTGAGTAATACAGAAGTAAGGTTGTTAACTGCAATATAGTAATACACACTATATTTTTATAAATAGTTTTAAGAAATTAAGGTATTGCTAACATGAAATGTAAAATGTATTTTGTTTTTACTTTTAGTAAATACCATATATAGAGTGGAAATTAATTCTAACATCCAAAAACCAAGATTAGAATACTTTTTACTGACACATGGGATTGGCAGGATGACTTTTTAGTGAAAACACCCATTTCCTACTATCGTAAATAACATGATGTGACTTAGTAGTATGACACAAACATCTGTACTCATAAATTTATATCTCACTTTGTAAAATATTGTAAAACACTTTTATATAGAGAATATATATATGTATAATATATAACGAAAGACTAGGAGAAAATATAGTTGCATCCTATTGCTTTGCATAGAATGTGGGATATCAAAAGGCCAAAATAAAATAATTATTAATTAAAAGGACCGCTTATTTTAAATTGTTTTAATTCAGACTAAAACAAAATACATTTTATGTTCAGTATACATCAGTTGTAGTTTTATGTTAAAATACATATGGTTTATATCTTACATTTACATTTCAAAAGCAAAAATAAGTTCTATGCTTTTTTCTAGGTGCGTATAGAAATAAAAATAAAATCCCTTTTTAAAGATTTTCATATTTTACTGAAATAGATTGGTGTTCAAAAGAGAATTTAGAACTGAGGAAGCCTAAGAAAATAAAAGCCTCATTTGACAATCACTTTAATACTAGAATATTGATGCCTTTGGGCATAGCTTTAAAATATTTTAAAATCTTTTTTAATCACTTCAGTAAAACAAATGTTTCTGTTGAATAATGTATTATTATTATTAGACTCATTTCCATTCATTGTTTACTTCATATTTTTGAGCCCTTAATCATTTTACCCAAACAATAATATTTTGTTGTTGTTAGGATGTTATCAAGGAGGATGCCGATGAGGGGCTTTCTTCACCCACAGACCCCTCAATGGTAAATGAGTAGTCATGTGGTGTGGAAATTTAGCATCTCATTGCTTCGTCAGCAGTAATGAGTCTGCGTTGATTTTAACTGCAGTTCACTAACACTGCATCAGTGGCTTGGTGGGCAAATAGAGTAGTTGAACACTAATAAATGTAGTTTGTGAATGAATTCAAGTGCTAATATTTTACTTATAAGACCTACTGTATTATTTTCCCCTTAGTCTCCCCTGTCCTCCTTAGTAGCTATGAAGTACTTCAGCTAAGAGTACAGTGTTTTCAGTCTTCACAAGCAGTTCCGGGATGGTTAAAAGGAGTGGGGAATGGCAGTTGGCCATTCATTACTTAGTTTTTAGAACTGAATGGCTGAATCCTATCCTCTTCTCTTTTGTTCCAATATCCCAGCATAAAGCTGCTGCAGTTGTTACAGCATAAAGCAACTTTATATAAAAATAAAAAAAAAATCTGTTATATACAGTAACTCCCCACTTAACGTCTTCTCGCTTAATGTTGTTTCGATCTTACGTCCCTGCTCAATTACAGAACATGCTCCATTTAAAGTTGTACAATGCTTCGCTATAATGTCGTTTGGCTGCCTGCTTTGTCCACAGCTGGCAGCCCCCTTATCAGCTCCCCTACGCCCCCTCCCCACAACGCCTCCCACCCGCTGGCAGACCCCGTGGATCAGCGCCTTCCCCCTCGTCCCATCCCCCTCCCCGCCTCCTGCCCACGGCAATCAGCTGGCTTGCGGCATTCAGGAGGGAGGGGGCAGGAGCGAGGACTTGGCACGCAGGCTCCCCCTCCCGCCCCTGCCTTCCGAATGCCGCAAACCAGCTGATTGCCGTGGGCAGGAGACAGGGGAGAGAGGGGGAAGCCTGCGCACCGAGTCCTTGCTCCTCCCCCTTCCCTCCTGCCCGCAGCAACCAGCTGGCTTGCGGTGTTGAGGCAGAGGAGGGAGGGGGAGCCTGTGCGCTGTGTCCTCGCTCCTCCCCTCTCCCTCCTGCCTCCTGAATGCTGCAAGCCAGCTGATTGCCACGGGCAGGAGAGATGGGGGAGGAGCGAGGGCACGGCGTGCGGAGTAAAGGGGGGGGAGAAGAGGCGGGTGAAGGGTGGGGGCTTGGCGGAAGGGGTGGCATGGGCGGGCCGAGGGTGGAGCCCCCCACCCCTGGTGCTTGCAGAGTAGGGGAAGCTGCCGCTGCTGCTGCTCAACGTGCTTCTCCTAGCCTACAGCACCTTCAGCCTCCTTGCCTGCCTCATTGTCTCCAGTGCCAGTGGGCTGTGCCTGTGTGGGGTAAGGCGGTGGCACCTCCCAACTATAGTACTGTACTGTATGGCAAAAAAAAATTTCCCTGGAACCTAAGCCCCCTCCCCCCTTTACATTCATTCTTATGGGGAAATTGGATTCGCTTAGCATCATTTCACTTAAAGTTGCATTTTTCAGGAACATAACTACAACGTTAAGTGAGGGGTTACTGTATCATAATCATATTCATGAGCTAGCGTGTTAAGGTCTACCTTTACTCATGAATAAGGTAATATTAGAATTTTGTGTTCCACAACTTTAGTCTTTATTTCATTATAAATATTCATACAAAGATATCTTCCTTTATATGTGGCTGTTTTAACCCTTAATTGTGGAAGTCAATAGAAAACCATTCCTGGCCATCAAGCTCTGGTGACTGCCAACACAAAAGGGTTAACATAGTTTTAACCATTATCTTAATTGCTTTATCCTGTTACCTGCAACAGCCTAAATGTGTGACTTAAGGTATTTTTTGTCTTTCACTGATGCAAGAAAAGGTTTGCATAAAATGTCATTTTTTTATTATGCAACAATGGGAAAAACAAGAATTCCAGCATAATTATGGCAACAAAGACCAAGCCTGGATTAAAATAACGTTAATTAAGGATTTTATAGGCACGGAGTGTTTCTCATTCTTTAACTAATGCTATTGAACCTACATATAGCAGCATTCAAGATCATATATTGTTCTGAAATCCTGTAATATTTTGATCAAAATGTAAAGTTAATGGGGCAGTTAAAACCCTGATTCTGAATTTTGTAGTGCTTGTGATTATTTTGTGTAAATACTTGATTCTCTTCTCCTCTGCTCTGTGTGAAGGAGGCTGGAAGGGCCCTGTTATGAATCCCTAATCCTCTGAAAGCCCTTCCACAAGTATCAAAGGGGTAGCCGCGTTAGTCTGGATCTGTAAAAGCAGCAAAGAGTCCTGTGGCACCTTATAGACTAACAGACGTATTGGAGCATGAGCTTTCGTGGGTGAATACCCACTTCTTTGGCTGCATGTGACATGCATCCGAAGAAGTGGGTATTCACCCACGAAAGCTCATGCTCCAATACGTCTGTTAGTCTATAAGGTGCCAGAGGACTCTTTGCTGCTTCCACAAGTAGGCTCTGTCAGTCAGGATGGATTTGCTATCCCTATACCTCTGGGGAGTCCCCTGTGCAAGGTAATACTGACCTTGCTGGCTTTCTGGTTGAATTTCTGTGGAAGACAGAAACAATATTACTCAATGTGTTCGTTCTCTATTGATTTAACCATGATGGAAAAAATGAACTGTTTTCATGCTTCCATTGAGTATAAGATGAATTCTTCAGAGTTATTACAGGCTCAATTGAGGTGTTTGAGGCACTTCAATTATCCACAAATGATGGATACAATAGACTGTAATAATTCTGTTCGAATATTTAGGGAGTCCTTAATCCATGCATCTTTGCCACTATATATGATAATAGCTTTTACTTATTCTATAATGCATGGATCCATGCATGCAAAATAATTCAGTGTACTAACAATCCTTATGAAATTTTTAATGAATACCAACTACTGTGACTAGTTTGGTGATCTAATAGGAATACCACATGGAGGATTAAAGCTCAGTCTTGATTCCTGAGTGTGGCATGGCCTAGAAGGGTTGATTTATTTAGCCCTCAGTAGAGGAAAGAAGCTCCCTTGACTTGCTTTTTAGTAAGCTTTTTTGGCCAGTGCAAGGAGCTGGTAACTCTGGAAGACCCATTTTTTTTATATGGGTCAAAATTTCTGTGAATTGGCAGAGCTGTGTGGAGAAGATGTTGTCTCAGTGCAGGGGGCTGGAGTTAATGACTTTTCAAGATCCCTTCCAGCCCTACATTTCTGTGATTCTACAGTTGCACAATACCTCTTCATGCTTTGTGGCTCCTGCCATTGATGTCAGTATGTCAATGAAGTTAACCAGTTTTATAACCCAAGATCCTAAAATCTTAGAGCCTGATTCTGGTCTTTCCTACACCAGTGTAAATCTGAAGCAACATCATGGAAATTAGTGGACTGATGTTGGTGTAAAACTCGTGTGATTATAATTACATGTTTAGTCTTTTTTGTGCATTATGTTGTGCAGAGTACATTGTAGGCACTGTGTGAGTGCACACACATGTGTATATATATTTCAAACTTGTATTTTGTGTTCTAGCTCTATCTAGTCCATAATTTTCATGGGTTTCTGGAATAGTGGATAAAGAATACTGTTAAAATTCCCTGCAGGTTTAATGCTGGTTCTCTTTAGTAAATTAACTGATTTGGGGCCTGATCCTGTGTCATTGAAACAGAATGGAAGCTTTGCCATTAACTTTAGTAAGTGCAGGATTTGGCCTACAGGGTATTATAATACTGACCCCTAGCTGTACTTTTGGAGTCTCCAAAATATCTTCTTCACAACAAATTTAGTATTCTTTAGTCTGTTCCAAAATCCAAGTAGACAGGTAAACAGTTTGTTGTGCCAGTAGGGTATAGTGTGGTATTTTTAATGAAACAGTATTAACTTTTGTTTTCCAGTAGCACTCATGATTTTCTGGGCACTTTTCTGACAGCAAAGAAGGCATGATCTCTGCCCAGTCTAAAGAGTTTGTCACCAGATTGCAATATGAAGATGATTTATGTTATCTGTTACACTTATAAGAAGCGCATGGGATCTTTTCAGGGGAAAAGGCAATACGCCGCGTTTATTGAAAATATAACAGCGCGCACACACACACACACACACACACACACACACACACACGTCTTGCAGATGATCTTATAGTTACCCGTCTGTCATTGTTCGAGTCAATCTAATGGCCAGTTAGATCGAGCACGAGTGAGGAGCTGGGCTCTGTTGGTCGTGATCCGATGCTCTGCAGGACTGAACCCAGAGTTCTATGGCAAAAACCCCAGCTTTATACTTGTAAATTCCCACTTTAGTCTATGGATTTTGCAATGTCATTCTGTAATCGTTAGTCCTTATGTGGTATTAATCTTGGGGTTTTCCACTGTTATCTCTTATTTGTTGTCTCGCCTTGGGGGGTGGGGGGGTGTTTGCCTCACCTCTCAGGTTGTCAATGCTGCTAACTTGTTTAGCGTCAGATACAATGGATGTTTTCTGATTGTTTCCTGCTATCTCTCCAAGTCTCTTACTTCTTCTTGACCATCTGGACATTTGTGATGGCTTTCACACTTATCCTTAACCATGCACACATCCTTTACTCACACCAAACAATTTTACAGAGAATTTCAGACAGGATTACATTTTAGAAAGGGTTATATGGTTACTAAAGGGATTACAAAGGAACCTTACACAACTTTGTTTGCAATGCAGATAAGAAACAAGACCTTATAGCAAATACTGTAATGAAAACTTATCCTAAAACAAAAGGTGACCATAATCAGCCATAAGAACTGTTCTGGTTTGTTCCTGCCTTAACATCAGTTCAGACACAGGCAGCCTGTCTGATGCGTTTCTACCAATGGCCCCTTAGGCCATTCCTTTCTGCTATTCAAAAAGGGTGGCTGGCAGGATATGGTTAAATCATACATACATCAATACATTTAGTACATGCTGCATTATTATATCCTTCATTCTAAATTATCCAAAATACAAACATAAAATCCTACTACTACATATCTACCAACATATATCATGAATCAAGTTAGCATTACTAATTGCATTTGCTAGGATGGAGCATGCCTCAACATAATTGTATTGTTTTAAAGATGTTTTCCCTGTTGCATGAAATCAATAGTGCCTTGAGGCATATAATGTACTTTCATTGAAGTGGCCCTAAAATTGGACCTGTGCAATCATGTAATTATACATAAACCCTGCCTATCTTTTAAAAATAATGGAAGTGTTTTTTTAATGAACAGGTCTGGGTATGGTCAAAGGATGTAGCCTGGGAAGTTTTTCACTTATTCTTGCAAATGTTGTTAATGTGGAATTAATCCCCTTAGAATATGAACTATAAACCCTATTACTATTTGTTCTGAAAATCTACCTTTTCAGCTCTGTTTTCCTTGCTTAGCTATGAGGACTTTAAAATTATTCGACAAATAATGGTGTGACCTAATTTTGAAATGACAAAGGAATTTTAGGCTGCAAACCAAGATTATTCACAGTAAAAATGATGCAGCTATTCCCTCTGTCCTAGGATATTAAACTTCAACAAGTATTCATCTGCTTTTTTACGAGTACAAAAGGAGCAAGTCACTTATCAGAAATATCTATCTTAAATGTTTAATTGTAGTATAAAAAAAATCTCAGTATACTAACTTTGTACATAAAACATAAAGCTAGTTTTACATGTACTGTTTTAAATTAGATTAATATGAATGTCAGTTACATCTTTAGACATTTTTGATGTTTCACTTTAAGCTTCTGTCTTTTCATTCTGTTTTTGTCCCTTTCTTGAAGCTGTGTAAATCTGGGTTAAACAAACAGAAACAGGTACAGCAACTTTCTATGCATTGTCATTCACTTATTTGATGGAATCATTGCAAAAGCTCTTCATGCTAGGCTGTCTATAAATTAATGCTCATTACTAGCCCTTAGGTTTGCTTTGACAAGCTGCTTTTAGCTTTTGCATGGCAAATATTTTTCAGTGTAATGTTCTCTAAGCTGAAAAATGTGTCAGTTTAAGTACAGTCTTAATTCACTTACATGACGACATTATCCCTAAAGCAATTACATTATTTATTCTTCAGGCAGTGTTTTTTATAAAGAGTGATTTGGATTAATGTGTATTTATTTCAAATGATTTATTCTTTAACAAAAATCTAAATATTTTAGCATTTTCCCATATAATTTTTGATAGAGAAAATGCTTCTTTCTAAACTAACTCCTAATGCATGCAGAAATAGTGACTTGCTCTTGACTGCTAAAATATTTTGATTTAATGCAAGAATGCCTATTCCATCTTAACACTGTGTGAAATTTCCTTCTTTATTTCTTTGTGGTAATCTACAGATACTATATTAGATAGATTCACAGTTCACAAACTGTTGAAACTCTTCACATTGTTCTTAGAGTATTTATGTTAGCAACACCATTATAAAATAATTTTTGTCATAGTTTATGGCTGCCATTTTTCAAATTATAATAGATTTTTCCACTAAAAGTATAATTTGAACTAACCAGTAAATTGTGCTTATGGGTGGATTAACCTAGTTCATGCTTTTCAGCATCTCTTATTCACTGCATTCATTGTAAGAATATTGTTGAGAAATCACATTGGAATAGGAAGAAGATTGGAATAATACATCCAAATATCTCTAAACATTTCTGAATTGTGCTGACTACTTGGATAAAAATTTTAATATCAGAATGATTAAAAATGTTATGACCATTTTTTGTTGCCTTTTGGACAAGTTTCTCAAGCAATCAAGTCAAGGTAACAAATGTGTAAGTTTTAACTAAGAGAATCCAAAAATTATTTTTGTTGTTTGACCTTCATGCTAGATTGCAGTTACCCTTTAGAACAGAAATGTATTTGTTTAAAAAAACCCATAATCTGTCGTTTTGTTAGTATTAAAATGCTCTAGTTAAAACTGTTTAGTTTTATTCATAAAAGAAACTGGAATATCTTTTACTATTTACAGACCATGAAATAATTATGAGATAATTAATTGTGAATATCAAAAGTGAGTGTGTGGGTGGGGAACTATTAGCCAAAACTATTTGGCAAGTAGGAGACTAAGAAGGCTAAGAATGTAAAAGTGATTATAAAAGGTAAGTATTGGAAAACGTAAAGGTTACATAAGAAGGGAATACAAATAATGCTCAACTATTGCCGTATGTGCCTGCAACAGCCTCTCTTCTTGTATACCTAGTAGCCTCTCTATTGTTTGAAATCATAAGACTAGCCATACCAGATCTGACCAGTAGTCCATCTAATCCAGTAGTTTATTTCCAGCAGTGTGCAGTGCCAGATGCTTCAGAGGAAGGTGCAAGAAAGCCTGTAGTGTGGGCAGTTATATAGTTCAGAGGGAAAAGTGCTTCCTAACATTAATCAATTAGTGATTGGCTTATACCTTGAAGTATATGAGGCTTTATATCCTTTTTAAAAAAATTAAATTGAATATTGTCTAGTGTAGCTGTAGGTGTTCTCATTATCAAGAGTAAATGTGATTCTTTCCTTGAATCTCTTAAACTCTCTTAAAGGTCTCTTCATCTTACCTTTGAAAGTGAAATACTTAAATAAAGAGAAAAGAGAGAAACACTATACAGAACATAAATACATTCTTCATTGTTCACAAAGAATTACAGGTAAACCCCGATTAACTGAACTGTAGTTAACTAAAGCACAGTTTTGCATCTCAGAGTTTACCTGTGTGATGTTGAGCTTCTAAGCTTTGAAGAAGTGGAATTTTTTTGTAGTGTGACCTATTTAAAGTGATGGACCTCCACAGGAGTTTAGCTTCAGTCCTGTGGTGCCTAGATGTTCCACAGTGCTGAAACCAAAATTCCATAAGCAGGAACTGTGAAGGCTAGGTGGGTGCACTGCTAATAGAACTAGCACTTCTGATGGCTCTGGGGACAGCTGGAATAACCAGATTACAGATAGAGGGCTCTGCTTGTACCAACTTTCAGAAATGTCTCTTCCTGCTGTGCACTTTCCGTCCCCAGCACTCTGTTCTGTCTTGCACACAGATCTTAGATTTCTGTGCACAGAGCTAAGCTTTGCAAGAGTGGGCTCTGTTCCTGCAAAATTTAGGGGCTTTTGGTGATTAACATCATTTCTGCAGAATTTAAGAGTTCCACAGGGCTGAGCCCTTTGGTTAAGTAATCCTGTGATTATACAGAGGTTTTGGATGTCCTCTGAGACCTCTGAATAATAATGGGTTTATGTGTGTTGGATTATGATGCCAAAGGCAGAAATTAGTTTTCTAGAAAAGGAAGAGGAAGGATTGAAAAACTGAAGTGTCACAGCAGAATGTGTGATGATAAAAGTAGGGTAACATTCTATGGCCTGCTCTGAAATTCCAGATGATATAGTGCAGTGGTCACCAACCCATAGATGATAATCGATTGGTCGATCCTGGAGCCTGTGCCAGTCAATCGCAATCTCCAGCTGGTAAAAGTCTGGCGGTGCAGTAGGGCTAAGGCAGGCTCCTTGCCTGCCCCAGCCCCACGCCGCTCCTGGAAGTGGCCAGCATGCCCCTGCAGCCCCTGGGGGATAGGGGTCTCTGCGCGCTGCTCCTGCCCGCAAGCACCGTCCTCGCAGCTCCCATTGGCTGGGAACGGGGAACTGCGGCCAGTGGGAGCTGTGGGGGCGGTGCTTGCAGGCAGGAGCAGCACGCGGAGCCACATGCCCCACCCCAGGGGCCACAGGGGCATGTTGGCCGCTTCCGGGAGTGGTGTGGGGCCACGGCAGGCAGGGAGCCTGCTTTAGCCCCACTGCGCCGCTGCCCACGGTAAGTGCTGCCTGGTGGGAGCCCGCACCCCAGCCCGGAGCCCCCTCCCAGAGTCAGCACCCCATACCCCCTCCTGCTCCCCATACCCCCTCCTACACCCCAATCCTCTGCCCCAGCACCCCATACCCCCTCCTGCATCCCAACACTCTGCCCCAGTCCAGAGCCCCCTCTTGCATCCAAACTCCCTCCCAGAGCTTGCACCCTGCACCCCCTCCCGAAACCCAACCCCCTGCCCCAGCCCGGTGAAAGTGAGTGAGGGTGAGAGAGAGTGAGAGACGGAGGGAGGAGGGATGGAATGAGCAGGGCGGGGCTTCAAGGAAGGGGCAGGGCCTCGGGGAAGGAGCAGGGTAGATCCTGGGTTGCACTTAAATTTTAAAAGTGATCTTGTATGTAAAAAGGTTGGAGACCACTGATGTAGTGGTACCTTTAACTATTTAGATGTTTATAGTTTACTATATATGGAATGCTTAAGGGTGTCTTTGGAAAGGAAATATTTCACCACAGTCTCATATGGAACTGATGCAACCGAAGTTGTTAATCATGCTTGATCCAAATATTTGCACATGGCCAAGAAGATAAAGCCTAGATACACGGTTAAACTTCAGTTATCCAAAACTCCCTGTTAGCTAAAACAAGGTCACAATACTAAGAACTGTTAACTATGTTCATTATCCAAAACTCCAACTATTCAAAATTATTTAATGAGTTCCATTACATTTGATAATTAAAGTTGTACTGTATAGCATTCACTCTTAGACAGCACTTTTCAATAACTATGTTCTTCTGTGAGTAGAATTAACTCTTTCTGGACTTTCCCAATTATACTGATATTTTTACATTGTTTTATTACCACTAAATAAATGTTACAATATTTTGAAACCTCTCTTATTCCTTTTAAATATGTAGAAATACATTTAATGTTGAAATCTCTTTCAGCAGGGGTCTGTCTTGGGTCCAGTACTATCCAATATTTTCATTCATTACTTGGATAATTGAGTAGAGTGTGCGCTTATAGTATTTGCAGATAATACCAGGCTGAGAAGGGTTGCTAACACTTTGGAAGACAGGATTAGAATTTCAAATGACCTTGACAAATTGAAGAATTGGTCTGAAATCAACAAGATGAAATTCAGTAAAGACAAGTGCTAAGTACTACACTTTAAAAAAGGAAAATCAGATAGCTACAAAATGGGGAATAACTGGCTAAACAGCAGTACTGCTGAAAAGAATGTGTGGGTTATAGTGGATCACAAATTGAATGTGAGTCAACAATGTGATGCAGTTGTGAAAAAGGCTAATATCATTCTGGGGTGTATTAACAGGAGTGTTGCATGTAAGACGTGGGACTTAATTGTCCCACTTTACTCAGCACTGTTGAGGCCCCAGTTGGAGTAGTGGGTCCAGTTCTTGGCATCACGCTTTAAGATGTGGACAAATTGGCGAGTCCAGAAAAGAGCAACAAGAAAGATCAAAGGTTTAGAAAACCTGACCTATGAGGAAAAGTTAAAAAAAACTGTCCATGTTTAGTCTGGAGAAAATAAGATTGAAGGGGTATTTGATAACAGACTTCAAATATATTAAGGGCTGTTTAAAAGGAGGACTGTGATCAGTTGTTCTCCATGTCCACCAAAGGTAGGGCAAGAAATAATCATCTGAATCTGCAGCAAGGGAGATTTAGTTTAGGTATTAGGAGAATAGCTATTATGGAATCCCCATCATCAGAGATTTTTAAGAACAGATTAGACAAATGCCTCTTAGGGATGGTTTAGGTTTAATTGGTCGTGCCTCAGCACAGGGTGCTGGACTTGATGACCTCTGGAGGTGTCTTCCAGCCCTAGATTTTTATGATTCTGTTATTCTGTTTTAAGGGAGACAGTTATAGAGAACTATACTTATTTGCTTCAGTGTGTACTCTTTGTCTCTTGTGTTTTTCTGTAAACCATTGTGTCATAGTGTCTGGAGTGGTTCATGAGCATTAGTGCCAATCTCAGGGCAGACTGTCAAGAAGCAGGGCAGAGACTCCAAACTGGGTTATATTTCTATAATTATATTTCACCAACCCAGTAAGAAATATGAACTCTAAAGCACTATAACAGTCTTAAAACAGAGTCAGAGGCAGTCCCCTTGATATTCCAGTCTATCTTGCTACCCAGTCAAGCTGGACTTAGTGATAGTTGGTTGCTATACACCAAAGAGCACAAAATATTCAGGTTGCTCTGAGTCCCAAGAGAGCAGTCACTTACCTCAGGTCATTTTATACTTTAGATCTCTCTCCAAAGACAATGCTCGTAGCCAATCCTGTAATAAAGTAACTAAAGATTTATTGACTAAGAAAAGAAATGAGAGCGTTATTACAAGATTAAAGCAAGCAGACTTATATACACAGATGAGTTAGTGATTTTAAAAGATGACACAGTTGTAGTAATCTGTTAGCTCTGAAGGGGAAATTGATATATAATTGATATATAGAATTATACAGGCAAAAGAGGTCTTGATGGAATTTCTCTGTTTTTCTCTATGTAACGTGATAACTTTTGATCACCACATCCGACGAGTTCCAAAATTTCAGGGAATGTTCTAGGTGTCAGTGGGCAGAACCCCTTTGCTTTTTGTGAAATCAGAAGAGAGAAATGGGGGGAGGGAGTCTGAGACCCTTGCATCTGGTTCACAGATCCAGCAGCATCCGTCATCTTTGTAATTGTCTATAAATCAAAGCAGCCATTAACACTTTCCTGCATAACAATACCCCTCATCTCCTCTCTGCCCATGTCCCAGTACAGTTTAAAATTTTGACATCCTGAAAGATGTATCTCCCAGATAGACAAAAAAGAAATAAGAATAGTTGAGGGGAAAGGGAAGCACATACAGCCCCTGTCATGGGTGGGTTGGGTGATGGTCGGAGGGGGATGGTGGGCCACTCAGACCCTTGAAGAGAGGAATTGAGAGGCACACAGGACCCGTGGTATTCGGGGGAGAATAAGGCACAGTGGTATGGGGGACACCGAGCCCCAGCCATGTGCTGGAAGGGTGAATGGAGGGCACACAGAGCCCCTGTCATGGTGGAGAAGAGGGAAGGGAGGAATGAGGGGGCACACAGTTCATGACACAAGTGGAGAATGTGAGACCCTGCATACAGGGAGGTGATGAGGGAGGTTGGAGGGAGTCTCTGAAATAAAGAAGGATTGGAGGATGGCAAACAGGGAGCTTGTGATTGGGGAGGGGAGAATGAAGGATGGTAGGAGCCTCTGGTGTGTGCAATGAGCTTGACCTACAGAAGCAACTAAGTGTCTGACCCTCTAGCATAAATAACAGGTGTTTACTTTGAAAAATATTCTTTTCCAGTGTAGATATCATGATTGAGTAATGAGTGTTTTTCATGGGCGCTGTGTAAAACTTTCAAAGAAAGCCGTATTTTACAGATTGCCCTACATCGATTAATAATTAGAGCCAATTTACAGTTTGAAACATATCACTAATATAAAGCAACAGAGGGTCCTGTGGCACCTTTAAGATTAACAGAAGTATTGGGAGCATAAGCTTTTGTGGGTAAGAACCTCACTTCTTCAGATGCTCGAATATCTTGCTGATGGGTGTGGCATAAGAATCTAGATGGACAGTTTATCTGGATATATTTTAACACTATAGTGAAATTGCATAAACGTAGATTTACATTTCTTCCCCTTCACCTTGCTTTAGCCACCTCTGTATCGTGGCACAGAGACCCCACAACTTTTCTGCGAATTTAGAGCCTTGTTGTACTGGCCACCTGCAGATGCATTCATTTTCCCTCCCCACGCCCTCTTTGGTGTTACTCCCAGAAGCTGAGAGAGTCACCCTACGTCATCTTAGTCTGAAGTTAGCATGAAGAGTTTGGGTAAAACACTGGAATCCAGATTGTTTAATACGGCCTTGTCTTGCTTTTAAAATTTGACCTAATTAAATCTATGCAAATCCCTAATGGTGACACTGTAGTTTTAACCCTTGCTTATATTGATATATTAGTTTGTTATATCTTATATTGATTTTTTAATTAGTTTGGTTAAACAAGAACACTTTTCTAGGATGGACAGTGTCTCAGCCATTTCCTTCTAATTATTATTGTTATTACTACCACCATATGTTAGTATTTTCCAGTATTATATTTAGATAATTTGGCACTAATTATGATAATCTTACTTTTTAGTTCCATATCCAAAAATGCATATAATTGAAGACAGTTTGATTTGCATCAGACATGCTGAGCATTTGAATATGTTGTTTGTGCACATTTTTCCGCTTGCATAGGGAACAGGAACAGTCACAGGATCAGCCACTGGAGGATCACATGTGCCTTTGAGCTCAATGAATGTGGAAGCCGTATGTGAGAAGCTGAAGCAGACAGAAGGGCTGGATCAGAGTATGCTACCTCAATACTCTGCAACTATAAGAAAGGTGATCCATTATTACACTTCAGTCATTTACATGGCATTGAAACACAGGAATGCATGTGTAGAAAAAATTATTTAACTGACTTATTGCATGAAAAATCTACTGAATCATATTGAATGTCAAAATAATATTTTTTTATCTATGTATGTTCAAAGTAATGCAGGTTTCAGAGTAGCAGCCGTGTTAGTCTATATCCGCAAAAAGAACAGGAGTACTTGTGGCACCTTAGAGACTAACAAATTCATCTGAGCATAAGCTTTCGTGGGCTACAGCCCACTTCATCGGATGCATAGAATGGAACATATAGTGAGGAGATATATATATATATATATATATATATAACCTTTTCTTCTTCTTCGAGTGCTTGTTCACGTCCATTCCACATTAGGTGTGCGCGCGCCGCGTGCACGAATCGTCGGAAACTTTTCCCTCAGCGGCTCCCGTCGGGCCCACAGGGTCCCCCTTCCCGCCAGAGCGGCGCCCCGCCCTCGCGTATATATATCCCTGTCGGCCCGACCCTCCCTCAGTTCCTTCTTACCGCCCGTGGCGACGTTGGAACAACTCTGTCTCTCGTCTGAGAGTGTCCCTTAGCATAGCCATTAGCAGTAGTTAGTAGTTCATAATACAGTTAAGAGTTTTAGTGTTAAGTAGTTGTTTAGTTCTTCTAAGGACCAAAATCTCTTGGTGATAGGGGTTTGGTCAACCCCGGCACCGGCCCTGGGCGGCGGGGCATGCCGCACGCCCAAGACTTTAAGGCGTGTGCCGCGTGCCGCAGGCCTATGCCAGTGAGCGACCCGCACGAGTCGTGTCTCCGTTGCCTCGGGGAAGCTCACCAGAAGGAGCGCTGCAAAATTTGTAAGGCCTTCAAGCCCAGAACCAAGAAAGAGAAGGAATTTCGCCTTAGGCAGCTCCTCATGGAGGCGGCGTTACAGCCCTCCTCTTCCGCGGCACCGTCCGCTTCGGTGCGGAGTGCCCCGGCATCGGTCCGCGACCCGACACCGGCGGCACAGACTAAACCCACGGCACCGCCAAGGCGGGAACACGCCCGGCACCGTTCTTCTTCGCCGGCCAAGTCGAAGGGCCAGCCTAAGGCCCGGGGGCACTCCCCTCATAAGAAGGCGGCACCGGCGAAGCCCGCAAGTGCGGCCAAGGCCGTGACGGCCCCGGTACAGGTCCCGGCACCAGTGGCTCCGGCGCCGAAGGGCCCGTCGAGCCCCGGGACGAGCGCGTCGAGTGCGGAGGATGGGCTGGAGGAACTGTTGGAACAGCCCTCCACCCCGGACACATTTGAGGCGGCGAAGGACCTCATCGAATTGTCCTCCGAAAGCACACTCCGCGCTACTGACATTCCGCCGCGGCTGCCATCCAAGGGCAAACCGGCGATGATGCGCCCGTCGCGGTCGCCATCTCGGCACCGTTCACGGCGCCGGTCCCGGTCGAGCTCCGCCTCGGTGGACTCCCGGCTTCCCGCCGCACAACGGGCCGCGAAACAGTCAGGGCCCGATGCGAGCGTGGCACCGCCTCAGCAACCCGGCTCGAGCAGGCGCCGGGACGCTTCGATGGCGAGACTCCCAAGACCACCCTCCCGCAGCCGCTCCCGGTCCCGCGGTCAACGGTACCGTTCCAGGTCCAGATCGGCACGCCGATACTCACGGTCCCGGTCCAGACGGCACCGCTCCCCGACACCGGACCGGCACCGCCCCACGGCACCGCCGTGGCCCTCTAGGTCACCGTCCCTAGCGTCGGAGGAGGGCTCGGGTCTTTCCAGATATGGCCGCAGAGGGTATGCCGCTAGAGAGCACGAGGCCTCTTGGCAACCGCATTGGAACCATCCTGGGCAGTGGCCATTCTGGACACCGTGGGCCTATCATCAGCAAGGCCCTCCATCTAGAACTTCGAGGTCGGGTCCCTCAGGAGACCGGTCCCGCTCCCCACGGTGCCGCCCTACCTCCCGGGCGGAGGCCACGGTCTCCAGACCACCGGATGCAGAGAGGGCGGGCTCGGCACCGTCCCTGCCTCGGGACAGGGGGCGCACCCCGGAGGGCCGCCCCGCTGAGGAGGAGCTACAGGAGGACGAGGAAGCTCAAAAAGCCATGACCTCCTCCTCCTCGCCGGACGAGGCCGTGGCGGGCACGACAGTATCCGGCCCTCCCCCTATTGACCATCGGGCACACCAGGACTTGCTCCGCCGGGTGGCCCTCAATCTGGGTCTACAAGCAGAGGAGACGGTTGAGCAGGAGGATCCGATGGTGGACATTCTGAGCCCAGAGGGTCCCTCCAGGATCGCGCTCCCGCTCATAAAAACGGTCCAGGCAAACTATAAGACCGTATGGCAAACGCCAGCCTCCTCTGCGCCAACCGCAAAAGGCGTAGAACGGAAGTACTTTGCCCCGTCCAAAGGGTTTGACTTTCTCTTCTCCCACCCGACCCCATGTTCGCTGGTCGTCTCGGCGGTTAACGAACGGGAAAGGCATGGCCAACAGGCCCCGGCACCCAAGGCCAAGGAGGCAAAACGACTAGACCTATTTGGCAGGAAGGTCTATTCGTCCGGGGGCCTCCAATTGCGGATAGCAAATCAGCAAGCGATCCTAAATAGGCATAACTTTAACTCATGGGCTTCTGTGTCCAAGTTCAAAGAGGCCTTGCCTCAGGGATCACAACCTGAGTTCGCGGCGCTAGTGGACGAGGGGAAGGCGGTGGCCAAAACGTCGTTACAGGCCTCACTTGACTCTGCCGACGCAGCCGCTAGAACAATTGCGTCAGGCGTAGTGATGAGGCGTTCTGCATGGCTGCAATCCTCGGGCCTTCCCCCGGAGGTGCAAAATACCCTCCAAGACTTGCCGTTCGAGGGTACGGGTCTGTTCTCAGAGCAGACTGACGCCAGGCTACACAGCCTCAAGGACTCTCGGGCTACCCTTAAGTCCTTGGGGATGCACACCCCTGTGACACAGAGGAAGCCGTTCAAGCCCCAACCTCCACAGAGGCAATATCACCCTCGCCCTCGACAGGAACCATACCGTAGACGGGGCAGGGACAATAGACGTAGGCGCAACAATACGCCTAACCAAGGCCAAAACCAGGGCCAAAACAAGACGCAGCCGGGAAATAAACAAGGATTTTGAAGCTGCGATCGAGGACAGCGTACCCATCTCTTCCCCGGATCCACCCCTGGGTTTCAGGGACCGCCTGTCCCATTTTTCCCGTGCCTGGTCTCATATAACATCAGACCGCTGGGTCCTGCGCACGGTGGAATCAGGTTACACCCTCCAGTTCTCCTCGCCCCCTCCCTCCCACCCACCACCCCCGTCCCTCTTCAGGGACCCCTCTCACGAGCAACTCCTCATACAGGAGGTACAGACCCTCCTCGAGGCGGGGGCGGTGGAGGAGGTTCCTCTGAACTTCAGAGGAAGAGGGTTCTATTCCAGATACTTCCTCATCCCCAAAGCAAAAGGGGGCCTCGGTCCCATCCTGGATCTTCGCAAGCTGAACAAGTACTTGCAGAAGCCACGGTTCCGTATGGTCTCCCTTGGTACCATCATCCCTTCCCTGGATCCGGGGGATTGGTACGCTGCCCTCGATATGAAAGACGCCTATTTTCACATTGCCATTCGCCGAGCTCATCGGCGTTTCCTGCGCTTCACTGTCCAGCAGCGCCATTTCCAGTTCACGGTCTTGCCCTTCGGCCTGGCAACAGCCCCACGTGTCTTCACGAAATGCATGTCGGTGGTAGCCGCCTTTCTTCGAAAAAGACGGATGCGCGTCTACCCGTACCTGGACGATTGGCTCCTAGCGGGCCGGTCGGAGGCAGAGGTCCGCGCCCATGTGACACTGGCGTTGCAAGTATTCCGGGAACTCGGGCTGTTGGTCAATGTGCCCAAGTCATCACTAATCCCCACACAAAGACTGGACTTCATAGGGGCAGTCCTGGACTCGGTAGAGGCACGGGCAAGTCTTCCCGTATCCCGATTCCTGGCTATCAAGGAGGCCGTAACCTCCGTTCAGCGATTCCCTACGACCACAGCCAGATGTTGCCTACAACTCCTGGGGCACATGGCAGCGTGCACGCACGTAGTCGAGCTCGCCCGTCTACGGCTCCGACCGCTGCAGCTGTGGTTGGCTCAGGTATATCGCCCCAACAGAGACCCCTTGGACATGGTCGTCACGGTCCCGGCTCGGGTATCGGATGCCCTCAATTGGTGGCTCAACCAGCAGCAGGTTTGCGCAGGGGTCCCGTTCACCGCCCCACAACCGACTCTGACGCTAGTAACAGACGCGTCGGACCTGGGTTGGGGTGCGCACCTAGGGGACCAGCGCACTCAGGGCTTGTGGTCCAGGGAGGAACGGCTGCTCCACATCAACCTGAAGGAGCTGAGAGCGGTTCGCCTCACCTGCCAGACCTTTCACGCCACCATAAAAGGACACAGCGTGTCAGTTCTGACAGACAACACTACCGCGATGTTTTACATAAACAAGCAGGGCGGGTCCCGGTCCTCTCCCCTCTGCCGCGAGGCTCTCCTCCTCTGGGACTTCTGCATAGCCCATTCAGTACAACTTCGGGCGGCGTATCTCCCCGGGGTCCAGAACGGGCTGGCGGACCGTCTCAGCCGGTCCTACCTCAGGCACGAGTGGAGGCTGAGACGGGACGTCCTCCGTTCCATTTTCCTGAGGTGGGGGTTTCCCCAGGTAGATTTATTTGCCAGCAAAGACAACAGTCAGTGCCCGCAATTCTGCTCGTTTCAGGGTCACAGTCCAGGCTCAGTGGCAGACGCCTTTGCTATCCCATGGGGTGGGAGCCTGAAGTACGCCTTTCCCCCGTTCCCACTCATTCACAAGGTCCTCCTAAAGGTCCGCAGGGACAGGGCGACAGTCATCTTAATCGCCCCGGCGTGGCCACGCCAACACTGGTTCACAACTCTGGTGGAACTCTCCGTGACCTCTCCGATAGCCCTTCCCCTACATCACGACCTCATCACTCAGGATCGGGGTCACCTACTCCACCCGAA